GTATCCTGTATTTTCAAGACTTTGTTTCACTCGAAACTCTAGAGAACTCTCCTTGAATTGGAATACAAGAGCTGAGGTTCGAAGATAAAGAAATACTTGATAATTCTTCATCCCGAGGATTCAAGCAAGTATCTGATACGCTCACATAGGGACCACCAAAGGGGCCACATGTGACAAAACTATAAGGCATGTTCCTTTTAAAAATGCTTTTTCAATCTGATTGTTAAAACCCTTCATTTCTAAAACCCTTGACTTCCTCCATCACTACAAGAGATTAAACTGTTAGTCGATCTGGCCTCGTTCTTGAAGCCACCTTCCTACGCTTATTATGAAGGTTTGAAACTAGCCAAGCACTCCATGATTGTATGAGTATAACTAACAACTACCACATATCGGAGATGCGTGAACATCGCCAATGATTATATTGGCTAGTCTGGGGGTGTTTTTCTCTAGATTGGATCCCTTGAAACGAAATGAGGCAAACTCATTCACGTGTGAGCATACGATGTCCCAAAGTTCAATTCCAAAAAACATCAAACTCGTGCAATGTAAAAGAGCCGAGACAGGATAAACGTCAAACTCGTGCGACGTAAAAGAGCCGAGACAGGATAAACGTCAAACTCGTGCGACGTTAAAGAGCCAAGACAGGAAAAAAAGTCAAACTCGTGCGACGTTAAAAGAGTCGAGACAAGAAAAAAAGCGTCAAACACGGGTGACATTAAAAAGCCGAGACAGGATAAACATCAAACTCGTACGACGTAAAAGAGCCGAGACAGAATAAGTGTCAAACTCATGCGACATTAAAAAGTCGAGACAGGAAAAACGTAAAACTCGTGCTACGTTAAAGAGCCGAGATGGAAAAAAGTCAAACTCATGTGACGTAAAACAGCCGAGATAGTGACCGTCCAGCCTTGTATGACGTGAAAGATCAGGTGTATCCAGGGCACAACCACTATGTTTCAATGGAAAAACGTCAAACTCATGCGATGTAAAAGAGCCGAGGAAGGTACCGTCTATCCCCGTATGATATCAAAGGTCGGGTGTATCCAAGGCACAACCACCCTGTTCAACAGAAAAACGTCAAACTCTTGAGACGTAAGAGAGCCGAGGCAGGTATCGTCTAGCCTCATATGACGTGAAAGGTCGGGTGTATCTAAGGCACAACCACTCTGTTTCAATGGAAAAATGTCAAACTTGTACGACGTAAAATAGCGGAGCAGGTACCATTTATCCCCGTATGATGTGAAAGGTCCGGTATATCTAAGGCACAACCACATTTGTTCAATGGAAAATGTCAAACTTGTGCGACGTAAAAGAGCATATGCAGATACCGTCTAGCCCCGTATAATACAAAAAGGTCGGGTGTATCCAGGGCACAACCACCCTGTTCGATGGATTCAGTCTATCCCCGTATTGACATAAAAGGGTCGGGTGTATGGTCTATAGTTGGATGAAATATCTTTCTCTTTTCAAAATTTTTATTATATCTTTTTCTTTTCAAAAATTTTATTATATGTCATGTGTTTTTTAAAAGCTTTAATTTCTTTCTTAAAATCTTAACATGTCCTTGCTTTGGATTCTATATCAAATCTCCTCTTACTTTCAAAACTTCTAAAAAAATCATAAAAAAACGAAGGAGCTTAGACACCCATATATGATGATTATTGTGTTGCCGCAATTGTCGCGTTGCTGCCTCGTCTCTCACTTTGGATTCGGCCAAACAAGTCGCTTCCTATAGAAAGCCTTTTCCTATAAACAGCCTTAGGAAACCCTAAGGAGATCAAAGAAAATGACACGGTTAAAAATTCAAACTACAAAAACCCCTGAAGTTAAGTGGCATGGTTAGAAAATCCAACTCAAGTTTCAAGCTTGTGTAACTCACCGACATCTCACGTCGAAAACCCTAAGAGGAAAAGTGCCCTACATGGGTTAGCTCGGTGAGCGCAATGATTTGGAGGGATAGTTGACGTGCTCCCTGAACACGTGACCTCAGGAAGAAATTTAAAATGTTTGTTTTATCTTTGACGTTCACCTGCCCCTCAAAAGATAGGGAATGCCAAAGTGTCTACTTCTTTGTCACTCACTTGTCCCTCGAATGACAGGGATTCCAAAAGAGGGGTAACTTCAGACACCTCATTTTAAATCTGGCAAATTCTATAGTTTTCTGAACCCGTAGGACTACATTATCCTAGTAGACGCAATTTAATTACCCCAAAACTAACTAAATCCTATTCCAATTTGAAGTAGAGCCCAAGAACTTTCCAACGGACCAAGAATCGCTTGAATCGGACCTATGGATAAAAAGATATAACAATGATAATTTAGTCCATGTGAGACCCAACTGTCAGGCGGCGGGCCGGGCTTTAACTTCAAGATAAGGAAAAAGCTTCAAGATAAATCCAAAAAAATCCAAAATAAACTCCAAAAAAATTAGAAAAAATCGCCAATTGAATCTTATTAGTACCCCATCTCCCTAACCCAAAAAGAGAGAGAAAAAAAATACCAAAAAATCCTTAGAAATTCTCGAAATTAGGAAAATTACCCAAAAGTACCTAAAATAGGAAAACCCTTAGAAAATTCCTAAAAATTTAAGAAAAATCCCCAAAAATTCCAAAAAAAATAGATAAAATATTAGAATTCATATTCAACCTCTAGATATCACAAAAACCTTAGAAAACTAAGGAAATTCTCCTCTAGACCCAAAAAAAAAATAGAGAAATAGATAGAGATTGAAACCTTAGTACTTCAGAAAGGCAGAAACCCTAACCTCCTGAGACCCTAACCCCCAAGCTTGAGAAAACATAGGCCTAGGGCACAACAACCCTATATCTAACCCTTCTAGACTAGAGATCTGCTGGTCAACATCCGAATCAGAGAGACAAAGATGACCGGTTCTGATACGGGCGAGCCCTCGAAGGCTCGAAAATCCCTAGCCATCCGGCCCAATTTGGTATTGTTTCTTCCTCTCTTTTATATTTTTTTATTTGTTATTTCTGTTTTTATTTATTTTGATCTGTTAACTTTGTCTTAAAATCGTATTTTAATGCTTTAGATCATGCTGGCTTTGCCACAGATCTGAGAGTAGATCTGCTCGTTTTCGGGCAGATTTGGCCTCAGATCTGAATTCAATCAGTCCCACTTACTCTACCACTTTATTCACATCTATTTTATTAGTCTAAGATGTTAAAATTCGAGAGATCTTCATTGAAAGATCTGTCATATTTTTATCGTAAACAATATGGAAGATAAGATTTGCAACTAGCAACATAATTTGCTTATTCATGAAATGTTGTCTGATTCAATAGATTTGAAAAAATCCTTAACCTAAATGCTATTGCAGCCTTGCTCATCATTAGCTTACTCCATGCATTGGTTTCCTTTGGAGCTATGTCAAAGCCTAGGTTTGGGGTACTTTACCTTTGGGTAATAATATCCAATGACCGGGATCGCTCATTTATATTTTTATGCAGCTTTGATGCCTTCCATGATTGTTGGTGTCTTGTATAACCGCAACAATTTCAAGCTCCACCATATCAAAATTGTCATTCATTTACATTTTTCTTATGAGTGATTGTTTACTGTATCCATATCTTTATAAGTATTATTGTTTCTTTCTTGTCTTTCGAGTAAGTGATATATTGTATCACATGGTACATCAATATGAATTTTACATACATATGGAGACATCTAACATTTATGATGCACACACTCAAGCCATTGTATGCATGGTATTTTGTTTCATTTGTGTCTTTCTTTAACTTTTATTTATGCCAGACTATCAAAATGTCATGCGCTTCTACAACTAATGGAGCTTATCCACCTCATTCGTGTCCTGGCTGTGATAATATACAATGTGCCATCAAAGCATCCTCGAACCCATCTAAACCCAAATAGGTTATATTATAAATGTGCATTTTTCAGTGATGTGAAGAATATGTTGTTGCTGCGAGCAATAATGTTAATTTAAAGCCTTGCAAGACACAATAGTGGAATCAAATGAATGAATCACAAGAACGTAACGTGATTAATCAAGATGTGGTTGCTATTCAAGAAATGATGCTTGGTACCTTAGGACATGTGCAACATTTAATGTTGTTCTTATGTGTAGCCAATGGCTGCTTATTTGTTCTTGTTTTTCTCAAAAAATTGTACTCCGTCTGAGGAGCATTTGATAGTCCTACAAGAAACAATACAAGTTCATGTAATGGCTTGGGTGTATTTTTATACGTTAAATAGAATCGAGCTAAACGTTGATGATTATTTGGTTGTTTTTCATCTTGTGCTTTTTGACATATTGTTAAATTTATGCAATATTTCTTTCTTCATTTTGGTGGAGTATCCGTCTACATGTAGATAACTATATAACTGTATTGAGTTATTGTGACATCCCCATCGCATAAGCCCATATACAATTTTGTAAAGTTTGCACAATCAATGAAAAAGGTAATTACAAAAAAAAAGAAAAAATATTACTACTCAGAAGAATCTCTTTTATATGTAAGATTGTCCTTTCTGAGTAGTTGGTATTTGGAATGTTAACCATTCATTTTAAGGGCATCATTCAACATAAGTCATCCTTTTCTTATGTAGTTTATTTTTTCTTCGGATAATAACCTTTCTCTCACTATGTTCAGTGCTCATAATTAGCTAGTGTTCATTCACTTAATATGTTGCATATGGTCATGAAATGCTTTCATACATGCATAATTCTTGCTTTCATTAAATGAAATCAAATAATGCGTACAAATGCAAAATAAAAGAGAGGTTACAAGTGGGTATAAATACAAATTCATTCTTGCTCTCATTAAAAAAATTCGTACAGAGAAAAGGTATAATGAAGAACTTTTACTCTCTCACACCAAACCCTCTCTCTCACTCTCTCTCCCTCTTTGACCTCTTCATTTGAATTCACATCAAAGAGACCTCTGGCCATTAGGGATATGATAGTGAAATAATTTTCTTCCCAATACAGTTATTTATTAGGAATAAAGTACACGGTATATTGCTGCACCAAGCAAGAGATGTAAACAAGAACACTAGGAACAATTACCAGGACCTTCAACCAATGCAAACAAATTACTGCATCAGCCAAACCATAGCTTTTTGGCTGCAAATAGTTTCCTCTCAAACGGTTTATGTCAATGGTAAAATACCATTGAGTCTACTCCTTCCATATTCCCTCATTCCAAAATGAAAATATAACGAGTACAATGAATCTACTCCTTCCACATTCTCTCCTTCAAATATGAAAATAAAAAGAGTACAATGAATCTACTCCTTCCACATTCTCTCCTTTCAAAATAAAAATATACAATGAATCTACTCCTTCCATATTCGCTCCTCTTGATTGTCCTCATCGAAATGGTTGGCCCCAAAGGCTTGAACACATGATTTGAGACCGCCTTTGCCCACTGCCACCCTATATATTGCAGTGAAGAAGAAACCCACTTTCCCAACAGATGGCAAATGGCTGCAAAATCCCCTGCCATTTTAGACACATGACACTTGTCATTCATAATAGTTGTATGATTAGAAATGTAGGGGACATTTGAAAAGAGAAAACAGAATTATAGGGGATATTTGACTTTACATTTCTATTACATTTATAAAAGGGTACAAAGCTAGTTGATTTTTTTAGACAAAACAAACATTGCATTGACAATCATGTAATTGCAACTTTTTCATCAATAGAAGTATCAAAGCAGCAACAAAGAGACCCACAAGAATCCAATCAATAAAGTTATATATTTCATGAGTTTCATATCATAACTAGTTATGTTCCACAATTTCGCAAGACCCATCTCTGCATCTTTTGTTGACATTCAACCTATAATAAGAAAAACCATTGTAAGCATTTATGCAATTCAAATTACATTCACAAATATTAAGAGATAAGGAGCAAGAAATACAAAGATATATGGAGCAATCATTCATTCATACTTTGGACGTGCGAAAGATGGACAATTTCTTTTGTTGTATCCACTCCTTTTACAAACTGCACACTTTTTAATCCCTTCCTTCGCCTCCTCTTTCACTTTTTCTTTCTTCACTTTTTCTTTCTTCACTTTCTCTTCTTCTTGCTCAACCCGAGATTTAAATATAATATTGGTAGGACGCCATTTTGTTCGTGTCCATGGGGGCTCAAGGATGTTATGGAAAGGGTTCCCCTTGGTCGTTTTGCTAGTGCCACCAATAAAACATTGTGAGAATCTACCATATGCCCAATTTTGCCTTCAATGTTAGCACATGATTCGCCTACCATACGTCCAATTTTGGCTTCAACTTTTCTGAGGTATGCTTTGCAAGTTTTCAAGATATTTGGCAAACCTCATTAAAACGAATAGAGCGGGTGAGTTCAGAATTAACTTGAATTTGCTTGCCTCTTTTATCTTCCACAACCCCTTTCATCACATCCTTTGTCCATCGCTTCATCATGTAATGCGATGGTATTTCCAAAATATTTTTTCCCAAATAAATCTTAAGTACATGCCTACAAAGAACTCCTAACCTCTGATACAGGTGGCAAGAACAAGTGAAAGTTTGATCATGACCATTAAATTCCACAAGACATACCCTCTCTCCACACCCAGGTTTTGTCACCCTAAAGGTGGTAACTATCTCATTGTCATCAATGGTTTCACTAACAAAATTAACGCAATTTGTAACTTCTTCCACAAAGAACTTTAGAATTCTATGTGTATAGATTTTCGAAGCTTGTGCCTCTATGAATGAAGTGGTCCTCAAAATAGGAGTATTCATGATGTTGTTCAAGTCATTTTCTTTTGTTTTACGAATCTTCTTTTCATGAAGTTTAAGGCTAGTTTCCAATACAAAATGCAAGCCTATTGTCGGAGTCAAGTACATCTTAAAGTGCTTGTTTATCCTTTCGCTCCTTCGAGTCGATGACATACAAGCTATGAATCTAGCTGAAACATATGTGTCAACCCATTGAACTCAACAATTTTACAGTCTAATGAGCCATTCATTTTTTTGAAGCTCATATTTCTCAATAAGTGATTTTCATTTTATCTCAAACTCTTCCACAGTTCGGCTCGTTATACACTTATTAAACATTTATGGGAAACTTGGATGCCCACACAAGACATGACCCAATTTTTCTTTTTGCTTCGCAAGAATGTGTCATTTACAATACTGATGCTTACTTTGATTGAAAACTTTTCTCATTGCATCAGTAATTACATGGTCTTGATCAGTGATAATTACACTGGGTTGGTGTCTACCCACTGCTTCTAGCCATTTTTCAAAAACTCATACAAAAGACTCCACTTTCTCATCATAAATAAGTGCAAACCCGAAGAATGGTGATTGACCCCAAGTATGGGAGCAAATAGCATATCAAATGAGTTTGTTTTGTATATGCCATATCAAAAAAGTGATAGTACGACACCCTTGACATAGCATTTACCCATAATATGTTGAGAATGTAATCTTCCCCACCTAATCTCAACTTACAGAAAAATGATGGGTTTGATTCACGCATTTTATTTGGCCATTCCATAACACGTTTGCCATCTTCGCCATTTAATTTTTTCCTTTTGTTTGCTAATTGGTTTAATGTCTTTTTGTGAGCATGATAGATTATCTATCCCTCCAACCTGCTCAATAAATATATCATAAATATGTCTAGTCTTTACCATAGAAGAACTTGTGGAGTTTATCATTGATTTTGTTACACCCGATAATGTTCGGTGCGACCGAAGGAGTCGAGCTTTTCTTGAAGTAACAAGGTTGTGGTTGTGTTCCTTTTCAAACCTAATCACAACCCACTCATTATCGGCATTTGTGCTAATGCCAATCCTAGCTATACATCTACACATTGTTTGAGGGATTTTCCTTGTACATTGCATCTTTTTGTTTACGGAACCCTTCTTTAGAGCATTTAAATTCCCTATCTATTGTCTGTCCATCCTTAGTATGAATACATGCCCTTCGGACCCCAAACCCATGCTCTAATGTGTAAGCCTTATAATAGTCAAATGTTTCTTCTTCAAAACCAAATTTTATCCTTACTGCGGGATCTTCTATTTCTAACCCCTTGGAAGACGCACCATGTTATCCAATTCCCATATTTGTAGACTTCATAGGGGTAGTTTTTATCAAGGTATCTTGCTCCATGTATTCATTAGTGTCCCACATATTGGGCTCAATGGTGTCCCCTATATTGTCTTCATCTGAAGACATGGGAGATGACATGCTACCTGAAATGGTGAGATCCAACTTAGGTAATTGAAAGACCCTACAATAAACACAAAGTTCTTAGTACTATTTCACCACAATACGTGATATTGATCTGGGCTTAACCAAATGAGCCCATAGAACTATTTTGTTCCCTTAAAAAAAAAAGGGACCAAGATGCTCTAAAATAATGGCTTGAGTGTGTGCATCATAGATGTTAGATGTCTCCATATGTATGTAAAATCCATGTTGTTGTATTCTGTGATACAGTATATCACTTACTCGAAAGACAAAAAAGAAACAATAATACTTATAAAGATATGGATACAGTAAACAATCACTCATAAGAACGAATATAATGAATGGCAATTTTGATATGATGGAGCTTGAAATTGTTGCGATTACACAAGACACCAACAATCATGGAAGGCATCAAAGCTGCATAAAAATATAAATGGGCGATCCCAATCACCGGATATTATTACCCAAAGGTAAAGTACCTTTGACATAGCTCCAAAGGAAACCAATGCATGGAGTAAGCTGATGATGAGCAAGGCTGCATCAACATTTAGGTTAGGGATTTTTTCAAACCTATTGAATCGGACAATATTTCATGAATCGGCCAATTATGTTGCTAGTTGCAAATCCTATCTTCCATATCCACATGAAATGTATAGAAATTGATTACATGGAGAAGATTAGAGATAGAGATAAGTGAGAACTCATAATGCTTCTATAAAAATAATCTATGAATGGGTAGAAGATGAATACAAATGAATTGACAGCAATATGAATTTCATCCCAGGAACCCCAAAACATCGTTAGTAAAAAGAGTTACGCCATTGATGATGCAAAGAAATGGATGCCCTGAGAACCCAGAAGAGAGAGAAATACATTGATGATCCAAAGGAACTCAGCCCAAGAGACCCATACTTGATGCATTTGCTCAAACTCATGGACTAGGGAATGTGCTCTAACATGCAAGAAGAGAGGGCAGCCATGGATGGAAACCAAGGAAGCTTCTCCAACTTGCTTCAGTTATCTGAGAAGGGTCACAGGATAGTTTGAGGAAGCACAATATATGTCCGATGGATTTCCATTGAGAGAGAGAGAGAGAGGGCACAAAGGGTGGGCCTGAACTAGAGATGAGAGAAAGACAGGGCCAGCAGAAGAGAGAGAGAGGCCCTGTTGCCCCATGATGCGAGAGAGAGATTTGGGTTTTTGTTTGAAAGAGAGGGGCCCCACTACTCCATAGAGAGATAGAGTTTTGTGGTCCGTCAGGCTATTTGCATAGGTTGAGGTTGAAATAAAGTTAACAGGGATCACAACCGTTAAAATTCTGTAAGGTGATCCCATTCGATCAGCTCACTTAATATATATTTGGATCACTTCATGAATCCTCTCACATCTTTTCAGTTGTCTGTAAGGTGATCCCATTCGATCAGCTCACTTAATATATATTTGGATCACTTCATGAATCCTCTCACATCTTTTCAGTTGCATAGATTGAGTTTGAAATCAAGTTAAGAGGGATCACAACCGTTAAAATTCTGTAAGGTGATCCCATTCGTTCAGCTCACTTGATATATATTTGGATCACTTCATGAATCCTCTCCCATCTTTTATTTCTTACTATATTCAGGAAAAATATATGTGTCCTTATTTCATCAAGATGTTCCGGCAGGTGAGAGACAGAGAGATTAGGGCCCAATAGGCATGTCAAATTATTGCAATTCCATTTCTGCCTTGGATCCATGAATTTGAAGTTAAAAAAAAAAAAGTGAAAATTAAAATGAATGGTTTAGAGCAAGGTACAAAATAGATTATTTTTAAGGCTTACAACTCATTATCTTTTTGAGGTTTGGTGATCTAGATGATTGACTCTCAATTTTTTGGATCCAAGATCCATACCCAAGATTGATTTTGGGAGAAGGGGCTCATTCTAACAGGTGCTTCCCCAGCCACACCTAAACCTAAACCTTTTCCACGATCATGTCATGTGTATATTTTTGTCAGATTTTTATATATAATTTCAATTTTTTTTTCCTTTAATTTTCTTCGTAGTTTTTCTTCAATTTCGTATTTGCAAATTTATTTTATTCTCAACTTAATTAGTTGTTAGGTTGATTTGTTTTGCTTTATGTTTTCACATTCATTAAATTTTCATCGAAATCTTGGGTTTTCATTAAGGTGAAAGATTTGTACCCCGAGAAAAGTATATTGTCCATTTACTCCCTTGGTAAAATGAAATCTAGGTGTACTTTTAGGACCCCCAAGTATCGGGGATGGAACCTCTTCAATCTTTAAACTAAGCTCAATAAAAAATGTTCTATGCGGCCAAGCCCGGCCACGCCCACATATGTAGAAATGCAGGCCTCTTAATAAATCTATTTTTGAGATAAATTTTAAAGACATGTAATATGATCGTGAATATGAATAAATAAATAAATTTTAAAAACTAGAAATAATAATTCTAGTAAGAAAACATTTGGACTATTAATTTCTATTGTTTTTAGATGGAACACCTACTTGCATCCATATTTAAGACGGATGCTTTACATTTTTTGGACCGCATATGTAGAAATGCGGTCCAGCCCGTATGAAACAATTTTCGATAAAAAAATGTTTGAAAATTACACTCTCTAAGTGCTTGGAAAAACTTATGTGTAAATATCAGTTGGATGCCATTCGATGTATGGACGATGAGATTTAATTTTAGAGAACTCAAAATACAAATTTTTCTTTTAAAAACAAAAATCCATTGATTTTTAGGTGGTTCCCAAAATTTTAAATAAGCAAAGATCCTTCCATATAGGTCTTCCCCCTGAAGGAATAGATAATATAGTATGCTCCTACAAGAGCATTCTATATGCTCTCTTTCATTAATTATAATTTGAATTTTTTCCGTTTTTTGGAGAAATTTACGTTGTTGAACGAATTGATAGTAGGATGTTCATTTATGGTTTTTTGTCTTTCTTATTTAGATTTTCACTTATGAGAACCTTGAAAATTACAAGATATTGGTTTATTATTATTAAACTATTAATTTAGAGGTGTATGTATTAGTTTCTCTTCTATTGCACAGTGCAATGTACCTCATTCACAAATAGGGGTGGCAACATGTCAGGTCGGGTCCGGATCCGGGTCCTGGTTCGGGTCCAGCCGGATATGGACCTGATCGGACGCGACTCAAATATCAAAATACCTATTTATTTAACTATATTTAATAATTTTTTAATAAATTAGTATCCAAAAATATATGTGGGATCTAGACCCAGACCCGAACGTGACTAGACACTTGAACCCGAACCCGAATAGTATTGGACCCAGGCCTAACCCATAAAGTCCAAGGTCGGGGTCCATTGCCACCCCTATTCACAAAACATTTAGAAAGACACATATACAGCTTCACTTTTCCCTGCAATTTCCTTCTTATCGAATGCTTTTTAATATTCCACCGCCCCCAATCCCATCTCTCTCTCTCTAGGTGTGACGCCACATATTCTCTCTCTACCTGCGTCACCCGTTCCTTTTCCTGGATTCGTTGTTTTGTTTGTTTCCGTTGCATATTCCGTCTCCTCAAAATAGTTTTAGTGCTCTCATAGCACCAAACCAAACCCAATATTTTTTTTTACTACATAAAACAAATGACAAATATTTTGTAATCTTAGTTCCAATTATCTCCAAAAAGTTAGATTAATCTTTATTTTATCAATACTAAGATACTATCTCCATAGAATTGAGTGTATTATAAGTATTTTAACGCATCCCATTATTATTAGGAAAATGTTTTGATAGGCTTGCAGCCCTATCATAATAAGTAAAGCCACAACTCAAAATTCTCCAATCCTATCATGACAAGTAAAGCCTCAGTTCAAAACTCACCAAAATTTTTAGTTCTGGCATCGAAAATCTTTAAATCAATCACTAAAGCCTCAGTTCAAAACTCACCAAAATTTTTAGTTCTGGCATCGAAAATCTTTAAATCAATCACCAAGGTCCGACTGTTATGGTTGTGGAAAAAAATTAGGATTCTAAAACCTAAAAATAATGTATATTGTAATACATTATCTAGACTGTCTTCTTTCCCAATAAATATATGTGCTGGAAATTGATTTCAAGGCCTCATAAGCCTTACAAAAATTGCATCCTTGTTTTTAAGGTGGGGTATAAAAATTGCATCCTTGTTATTAAGGTGGGGTTTCTGTAGGGCCGCAGCCTTGCAATATTTAGTTAGATTGCATCTCAAAACTATGTAAGAAGATATTGATCTTACGGACAACATTTTGATAGCACGCTAATCTATATCCACCGTTGATTATGCAATGTGAAGCTCAAATATGTTATTTCCACTGTTGATTATAGAATTTGAAGTTCAATTAGAAATTAGTTTTTTTAAAGTGCTGGTGGGGTGGCATCAGTGGTTGATTATAGAATTTGAAGCTCAATTCGAAATTAGTTTTTTTAAAGTGCTGGTGGGGTGGCATCAGTGGTTGATTATAGAATTTGAAGCTCAAGTAGAAATTAATTTTTTTAAAGTGTAGTGGTTGATTATAGAATTTGAAGCTCAAGTAGAAATTAATGTTTTTAAGGGGAACTTGAATTTGAAGCTCAAGTAGAAATTAGTTTTTTTAAATTGTTGGTGGGGTGGCATCAATGGAAATCGAAACCACAATGTGGTGACCAAGTTATGGGGTGCTAACATCACAACCCAGGTCCTTTTCCATGGTTGTTGAGATTGATGTGATGTATTTGTAGTTTTTAAGGGTAGAATGACATTTTTCAGCAAGATTTGAGGTGTTATAGAGCCGCAGTCCAACAAAATACTCTCTCATTACTACAACAAAAAGGTTTCAGCAATCATATACTTCGAAAACAAAATTATCAATTTCTATATAAAAAGAAAAACTCCTGTCAATATAGAAAATGGAGCGCAATTCACAAGGAATCGATAACGGATATGAAAGTTAGATAAGATTTTTTATATTTTATGAATTTGACATGCAAAATTTTTTTTACCACCGCTATGGCTATTTTTAAAAGTATGTATCTTAGATTCATATTGATTTCAAGGAAAAGTTTATATAAGGTGGCGACCTTAAAAATATAGAATGAACGTGCACCTCAAAATTCATCATAAATGGTTATTTTGATGTTGGAAAATCCTCTAATTGATCATCTCGATATCGAGATGTATGAATATGAAAAGAAAAAAAGATTTCGAGTATCAAAATAGTGTATCTTACAAAACATTATCTGGATCTTTCATTTTCGAGATTTTCATGTATTTATAGATCTACTTCATTTGAATTATCTTTTGAGTTTAAACTTTTATAATTATAGATGAAAATAGATTCACGAGCCATCCTAAGTTTTTTTTGACAACAAAGTTACAATTATGATAAAATTCGAAAGTGCTCGTTAATTTGATTAAGGTTAATTTAATATGTTAACTTCCCAACAATGGCATGATAAATTCCTGATAAAGAAGATATACAAACCAATAACATTCTCATACCTGTAATTCCCGCTAAATCACAAATATATACAAGTAGTGTTTTAAAAAGTGGATCGGATCACCAGGATAGCCCACTTTGTATTGGAACCAGAGGATAGCCCTGGCTCCGCCCTTGTCCCCATAGAGCCCGTCTGGACCGAGCCAAAGAGGGATTGGCCCAAGGTTTGCTCTGCCTTTTGTCGTGGCCTCGGCATTAGCCCTAGCCTGGTGCGGTGCAGCCTCGAGTGATTGGGCCCCTGGAACACTTTTGTGGTCAGGTCTTACTTTTTCAGTGTTGGGCCAAAAAGGCTAGGCCTGACTAGGCCACCACGCCCATTGCCAGCCCGAGTGGGGTACTGGTCACGCTCAAAAGATGTAGCTGGTTCCCACCGGTACTATTTTTACTCCTTTTTTTTCATGTACTTCTCCCCTAGTAAATGGGAGTTGAACGTACAAACTCAGCAATCCAGATCTCCAGGTCGGTTTGGCCAGTAGTGACCAGTCGATTTTTAAAACTCTCGATTTTTTATCCCCACGATTAAAAAAAACATGACTTATGTGTTAAGCATCCCTTTTCCAAGCATGAAAAAGTTATGAAAAAGTTTACGCAAGGGCGAGGTCCTAAACAATCAAATTCAAGTCGCGCCTCAAAAATCACTTCTATTCACTTGAAGTGATTGTTTCAATGTCCAAAAATCTTCAAATTGATCATCTCAACCTCAAGATGAACGGATATGGAAAAAAATAGATTTCAAGTCTTGAAAATAATACATCTTGTAATGCATTTTTTTACTGATCACTTTTCAAGATTTTCAAATGTTTATAGATCTATTCGATCTACACTATTTTTAAAACTTTAAATTTTATAACTAGATGTGAAAATAAATTTCCATATCATCACAAAGATATCCAATATTGAAATAGCATCTTCCGACATTATTTTAAGGCGCGCCTTACTTCGATAGTTTGGCTCTATACAAACCGCCCTCTTTTTTAAATGTTCCTTTGAAATAAACTAAGCAGTAAAAGCACTGGAGGATCACAGCATATCATTCCCTAATTATTAGAAGAAGAATGAAAGCATGTGATGAATGCGTAAATAACACCCCCTTCTTTACTTTCTTCTATTCTATTCTATATTATTTTTCTCTCTCCTTAACGGAGTCAAAGTCGAGTAAAGGTTGGTGTAGGGAATAATGGTGTTTCTTTGAGCAGATCCCCATATCCAAGACAAATGTGCTTTATCCTTTGCTTCATTCCGTTACCATGTTCACAACCCTTTTTGGGATACCCAGAGAGAGAGAGAGAGAGAGAGAGAATTTCCATATGTATGGTGCATATGAGAGAGAGAATGAGGGAGATAGAGATTTGCAGAGAGGCTAATAACGTGGCAGATTCTTGTGCAAAAAGCGGAGTTGCCTTACAATATCTACTTATTTTGGATGTTCCTTTTATTTAGACTTATTGTAATCTCTTTTTGAGCAATAAAATTACAGAATATTGTCAAAGAGAGAGATTATCCATGTGTGCATATGAGATTGAGAAAAACTCCGTATGTCTGCATGAAAGAGTCTCCATGTGCGTGCATATGAGATGGAGAGACTCCTTGTCAGCATGCCTGCATGAGAGAGAGCAAGATTCTCCATCTGTGTGTGCATATAAGATAGAGAGAAACTCCTTGTAATAATAATAATAATAATAAATAAAATAAAATTAATAAAAAAAGAAACGAAAAAAAAGAGGAGAGACTCCTCTTATGTCCATATAAAAAAGAGAAAGAGATTCCTCCTTTTGGGTCAGGAGAGAGGGAAGATATTGGGATTCTCCATATCTGTGTGGTGTGCCAAGTGATAAAGAAGAGAGATGCCTAGAGAGAGGGTCGTTCATTCGATGTCTAAAGTTTGAACCTAACCAGATCATGGTGTGAAAGAAACGCAGAATAGGACGCCCAAAAAATTGAGGAACCCCACCACAAACACGATGTGAAAGAAACGCCAACGACTGGAAGGTGCATGCCCACTGCTATTTATACACACACACCCACTAACAAACTACGACTTTTACTTGAACAAAAACCCCACCCATCCAATTCCTCAGCCACCATGGCCAACAAGCCCGAAAGCAAGAACCTATCCATGTGTGAGAAATCCATGTCCATAATGGTAAACATCCTCACCTTCTCATCGATCAGTATCTCTCAGAGAGCTCTAGGGATCAACCACACAGTGGCCTCGGGTCACAAAAAGTCAATGCCAAACTCTGAGAGGGCGGATACGTCGTCAATGAACATCACGCCGGGGGGTTTAAAGCTCCATGAGCCTCGCACCAAGGTCAAGGCATACTATGTGATGGAGCCTGGAGAAACCGGGCGCATTGTCGAGAACAAAGTCGATGTGAATCCGATGACCTCCAAAGACAGAGTTAGTGTGAATCGAAGGCCCTCACCAGAGAAAGCTGATGTGAATGAAAGAGCCACTGACTTCATTCATAAGGTGACACAAAGGCTGAAACAAGATCGCGGCACACTCAATGAGCCACCCATTGCCAACCCTCCACTCCGCTAATAGGTGAGAGAGAGTTGCAGTATTGATGGTCTTTTTTTCTTTTCTCTTTTTGCTGAGTAAATTTTCTGTTTTAAGAGTTTAAAGGTCCTCGTATTTCCTTAATTTGTGTCCAGTGTGCATTTTCCATAGTTTGTAGTAAGGTATTTGTACTGTTGAATTAAACACAGTACAAATAAATATATCTATTAGGAAATGATCCTGGTGTAAGTTCCTTCATTAATGTTCAAATTATTACTTTTTATGCATATAGATAAATACGTTATCATACCTTTTTCCCTACTATGGATAAGATCTTCTAAGGCTCAGTGATATTGATGCCTCGCATCTCTCTTATACTGCTGGTATTGCATCTTTGAATGCTACATGAAAAAGAGGAAGGGACATAAATATGTTAAGAAGCAAGGTACATCAATAAAGACCAGCAAATTTGTCTCTAAATTCCTTGCCTCCCTCATCTTACTTTGAAGTGATTTGCAGTCAACTTCTGAGATAAGATGGCACACCCCATCTTTACTACACTTATGGCTAATCCATCTTGTAACATGCTACTAAGTTGAATTTTAGGGTTTGATATCGGCTCAGTAACCTACCACAAAAAATAAGACAACTTCTATCTGAATAGTGTCAGACAAAATTGATTGTAGCATTATGTACTTATTTAAATGGAAAAGTATATAAAGAGACCGCCTACTTCTAATACAAAGACGTAATAATCACTATTGCCCATCAGATTTCAAATCAAGTGGTTGTTAAGTGTCAATAATTAGATTCAAAGTTCCCAAAAAAAAAAAAAATCTCGAACTTTGTAACACCCCAAGCCATCCAATTTCACATGTAAGGACTAAGAACAATTGTGACCTTGTAATAAAGATAAGTGGTCTAATAGTATATAATCCCATTTAAATAAAGTCATTGCTCATGTAGCAAAGCAGAGGATAACATAAAGAAAGTTTGGTCCTTTGCTTTGGTCCCGAAACTATTGCAAAAAGAAAAAGGGAAAACATCACATCTTCTAGCAATCCACCATCTATCCCATCAACAGATGACGGAGATGAGCCATTGTCTGCTCCACAGCCTACCAGCGGAACAACTCATCGCTATCATTCGTTGAGGAAGGCAATGGTGGATGGGCTTCTATGTATCCCATACGACAGACACATGCATGCTACATAACCCTGAAAGCTAAAATGCCACTTGTAACAAGAAAGATAAGGAATACTAATTTACTGAACAGAGTACAATCTTATTTCAAAGGGCATAATATCCTTTTTTTGACAAGACTACTTACTTTTCATTAACTAAATGGGAATTACATGACATGTATCAAACATAACAGATTACATCTATCAAAGAATCCCACAATGCACCTTTCTTGTACTACTTGAATGTTGAAACCATCGTGTCGAAGGCAAAAATATTCTGGCATTAGTTTCTTTTCCCAGCAGAATCATTATCTCAGGTTTATGACGTTTGCGTAAGTGACCACATCTGGTACTGTCTTAACTAAGAAATTAACAATATGCTTAGGATTCCTTGCGTGCAAACTAAAAATTAATGTGGACAAAGGGGTTCATCTTTAGCTCAATAAATAATTGTTTTTCAGGCATGAGATTCTAGCTTATGGCAAAAGCATTGCACAAAAATCCGACTAATGTTAGAAAGCCTCATGGAAAGAACACAATTAATGGGAATCATGATTTGTAGCTGCATTTATGCAACTAACTGTGATCGTGAGGAAAATAACTATAGGGGCACCATAAAAAAGTAGGCCCGGATAGGTTTGCTGGACATAATTGAAAGAGGTAATTGTTTACATTAGAATAAAGAGAGATCTGAGCTGCCAGTTTAGACATCCACTTTATTTGGATAATAAACTATGTTAACTTACAGATCCTTCATCACATCGGCAACAATAAATCACACTAAAGGAAAACAAAGAAAATTAGGAAAATTTGCACACAGATTCAGCACCTTTGCACGCTTTGATGCCAGTGCCGCTTTAGTCTTCATCATCATCTGCAACAATAATAAAACTCAGTTACTCGAAATCAAAATGAAAAGAATTAAGGAGAGAAGAGCTGCAATTATCTATGACTAGGTTAGTTAGCTGATCTCGTTTTCATATCGTGAATTTTGCACATAGAAGTAGAAAAGTCTCAGTTCTTGAATGAGAGATCCATCTTCAATGCAGAATTATAAGAATTATAAATGCTTAAATGTAAAACAATAAGCCAGTATCAAACCTATTTTGCAGTCAGAGGTGAAGTCTAAACTCAAAAACTATATGTCAGTTCCCTTAAAGAAGTCCAATGGTCTAAATTGCATTTCCAAGCAAGGCCAGGAGTGTCGTGGTCTTGTGGAGGATTATAAGCACTCCACAGCTTGTTTCGTCCTTGTATCACTTGATGCTTGAGGGTCATGTGTTTGTTAAGTTAGAAGGCAAATATGTAACATTTAAAACAAGCTACATGCGTGCTCCTAATTGCTTTGGAAATTTATCAGAGGGAAGAGCAAAAGGAAGACTGATTCCATGGCCATAATTCCATGCATAGATCTCCAAAGCATCCCAGGATTCAGTGGCGTTGCAAATGTATAACAGGATAAAGCATGCAGTACAAAAATAGTACTGTATATAGTTTAAGAGGCATATCCTATGCTATATATTGCTTATGCTAATGCCATCGTATTTTAGGTATGCTCTACTATGGACGTTAGAAGATCATATAATAAAGCTTATAATTAAAAAATATTGCAATTCTGCATATGTCGTATTACTAATCAGAATATTATATTATATTCAACTCAGTACAGCACCTGTTAGGAGGTGCGAGTTAGTTCAAGTGGAAAGATTGAAAAGGTCAAGGGATAGGCCCAAAAGGACGTGGTTGGAAGGAGTTCGAAAAGATATAGGGACTTTGGCCTTACTAAGGATATGGCCTTTAATAGAACAGAATGGCGGACCAAGATTCATATAGCCGACCCCAGTTAATTGCGAAAAGGTTATGATGATGATGATGATTCAACTCGTTTCCTTATATTTTATAGTTGTGTTATTTCTGGACTTTCTTGGAGTATCTGTTGCTGCCATTAAAGAGTATCATAAGTATCCATACGAGCATTGCAAATCTCGTATGGATATCCAGGTGTCTTGGATGAAGATATGCATTCCTCAAATAATAAGCAGCATAGCAGCAGGCATCGGAGGAGCCAAAATGAGGCGGGAAGCATTTGGTCAAAGGAAACAATAGTAATCAAAGATTGGGTGAAATTTTACTTCCAACAACGGCAAGAGCAATCAAAGATGGGGTGAAATTTTACTTCCAATAACAGTAAGAGTTCCACACAATTAGGAAGTTTTGCTCACTGGTGAGGCCACCATACAAATAAGCTTGAAAGGACATTGCATTCAAGTTGTGCTATATGTTTACAAATTGCATAAGGCTGTCACACGTGAAAAGGGGTCACCTTAGCAAGGACAAATAGCAGCAGGGAAATCACTGAAATACTGTAAGAATGTCAGATAAAAGACAAGTAAAACTTATGATTAAATCAAAGGAGTATTTATAGTGAACTTAACTTCAGAGAAAAGTCCAATTAAGGATGCCCTGATACCACTTGTAGAAGTGAATGAGGGCTGCTCTCAAGGTATACAAAACAAAACAAATTACAATTACAAACCCGAATATACCTCCAAAGGTTCAAATTATAGCAAGGTTATCTCTAACATAAATCAAAATTAACCACTCACATAGACCATAGGAACAATTACATACACCCCATAGAACATCAAGAAGACCCAATTGGTCCTAGGAGTCAATTTACATTACATGCTAATAAAACAGCCCATACACATTAGGCTTTAAACAAATGAATACATAGACATTGAACTCCCAATCTCCAATAATAAAACTCAACAATTCTTACATTGAGTCTCGAAACATGGAAAGCCGAAATATGGATCAATTTTGCCTGGTTTACAGCTGAGGTCTTATGTTTACACCATATGTATCCTCAACCCCTATAGCACAAGACCAAGGCTCAACTTAAACTCTAGATTGGTAAGCAATTTGAACAACACAACCAACTCTAGGAACCTGATCTCTCTTTGTAAAAATATGATACTCAAAGTGAAAGATAATGCTCAGATGTGGTGGTGTGTGGTACGGGAGTTTGGCAACAAAAGTAAAGTAATTGTCTTTGTAGTTGTAGGGATCAAGCAGGTACAATAAGGGCTTGTGAAAACAAGTTCTGATGTTTGACAAGGGCTCAAAATACTTGCTGGTTTAATATGGAAATACAATAAATTCCAGCAGCAAGTAAAACATGGTCCAAAAGGGTATTGAAACAATTTGTATTAATGTAGAACAGAAGGAATGCAATACTAGATCAATTTGGACAAGAAATAATCATAGGAAATGAACCAAGATAATGTTCTATATTGTTGTAAATGGAACGAACAAAAGGGAAGTTGCCCTGCACGTAGAGCTCTATGGACCTTCTTTGATGGTAACACACCACCATCAAAGTAAGTATTATATACTGGCACCATTAACTTCTGAGATTTGGTTTTGTAGAATGATATTCACTCTTTTCTTCACACTCTCTCTCTCAAATTTTAGAAAGAACACTCTAAGGGGACTGCACATATTTTTAAAGGAATGGGGCTGATTTTTGTCATATGCACATGAATGTGAGAGAGAAAGAATTAGGGTTTAATGGTTATATACTTAGGTCGGTTGGTTGCATTTTCCTAGGTTCAATTTAAGCCTTTGATTATGAGTATTTGTGGTATAGAGAGAGCTATTATCCTAGCCATTCATCCACCATCATACTATCAAGGATGATTTGATTAGATTATTCCATAATTATCCCCATTTAAGACAATTTTCAAATTTAACTTTAAATAAAACAATCATAAGAATATTATCAAAAATAAATAAAACAATCATAAGAAAATAGTCGAAAAAGTAAACTTTTCTCCAGGACCAAAATGTCCATGCATATTTAATAAAATATGTGAGAAAATAAGAAGACGGGTATGCCCCTAAATTCTCTACACTTTCTCACTCTTAACTACTTGAATTACATGCTTTCTGTCTCATGATTTGATAATGAGGAAGCATGCCTTTCATAGTAATACAGTTAACCTGTATCCAAAAAAAAAAAGAGAAAGCATGCCTTATGATCACTGGCTTGTCATTCATGCAACCAATCATAGAAACCCACCTAAATTATCCATGGTTCTCAATCACAGTTGGAGTGAGGGAGAATCTGCCACTCGCCGGATCTGTGCGACTTAGGATCTAAAGTTTTTTTTTTATATAATGTTAACCTCTTAGGATCTAAAGTTGGTGTTAGCAAAGTCACAAATCTTGAGTCATGAGTCATGAGGCATGAGATTGAGTAATTACGAACAGAGTGGGTTGACGGTCATCTACGGTCACGGTTGGTATGAGAATGCCTCACGATTATTTCAGCCAGGGTACAAGTAATTTATGTTGCTTATTTCTTACGGATCATAGTTTCACATATCATAGAATTATATGTAATAGAGAATTGTTTAGCTTAGTCTTGTTTGAGAAGGACTAGTTCTACGAGGGCATGAAGCATATCCGTAACCACGAACCTTCTCAAAGCATGTTTATGCACAATCGCAAGAGAGAGAAGCCGCTCTCTCTCTCTTGATCCCTTGGAAAGAGACAAGCACATGTGCTTGAGAAAGTACCCCGCATCCACAAGAGTGTGAGCCCTTGGGCTCGGCCTGAAATCCGCTATAATTCCAGGTCTCAACCATCTATCATTCTGACTGTGATAAGCTAAGCATAGACCCCTGCCACTGACTATGGGCCATGGGTCTTGGTGGATTAGTCTCAAGAAAAAGATATATGAATCCGTAACTAGCCGAGTGGAGTGCCTAGATGAACAAGACAAAAATTTCCTCAATGATCCTAACCAAGAGAGATTGGAGGAATAGAGCTTGCTTTCATAAGCAGTGGGCGCTTCTTCCGTGCGGGAATAGGACTCTACAAGGTTTTCAAAAAACGCTAGGCGGCCTGCCTAGCGCTCAACGCCTAGGCGGGCGCCCTGTGGTGCAAATTCTTAGCTTTTTTTTATGTACTTGCTATCCAAATACACATATATGCATATATATTTGTGTCAAATTTTGTAATTTATTCCATATGAAAATATCGCAAGTTCGCAACATACGTTTTTATATACAAACATATCACATGTCTCCAATTCTCAGGTAATCAAGTTGAGAAAAAACTTATTCAAATTTTCAAAACATACAAAGCATTTAAAAGTCTAATAGGCTATTGTAAGGTCTCCAACTTATTCAAAATTTCAAACCATACAAAACAATTAAAAGTCTTCTAATACCACCAATAGCACCCTAAAAATAATTAAAATGAAAAAAAAAACTTTTCAATCCACAAAAAGTACTTTCGATTATCAGAAATTACTTTAGATTCTCAAAAATAAGTTTAAGATTGAGGGTTTCTTGTTTTTTTTTCACTTAGGGGTTCAAAAGCCCTTTTGGGTGAACTTAAATAAAATAAAACGCCCACTACCCTAGGTGCCTGCCCAGAACTGGGTGGTGGGCGCCCGCCCAAGTACAAGCGCCCGTGTAGGGGCGTCCGAGTCAAGGCATGCAGAAATTTTTTTCTAGCCGCCTAGGCACCGGACGGACCATTTTTTGAAACATTGGGACTTTATTCTCCTTCTGGCACGCCTGCTCCCTTGCACCCTGATTATTCCGTTCTATCTATACTATAGGGCGCCCTTCCACTCTCCTTCATTGCTCGGAAGCGGTGAGTCGGCAAGGCTTCTCTTAGCCTTGCCATCCAGTTTAACGGCAAAGAATAAGCTGTGAAACAGTAGCTTTGGCTTCTATTGTTCCCCGTGAGGGGTTGCTTCTGTCTAGAAATAAGGGCGGGTAATAGCTCCGCCCCTACTGCCAACTTTCTTCTCGGCCTACTGCTTATGAAAGAGAACAGTGAGGGCTTCTTTAGAAA